ACTTTAGCAAGCGAATATTGGGAATGGCAGAAAATGAAATTGTTATTGAGCGAGTGGTAGCTTTTCGCAACTACTTTACTGTGTATATGTTTTCCAGACTCTTCCACATAGTGGCACTTCTGTCAAGATATGTCATATCTGAACTCTTCCGTGGTTTTGGCGAAATTCCTCATTTGCTGTCTTGAGTGTGTCGCATTACAACGATGTGTGCCGGCATCATTCAAGTTTTTTTGGTATGAACTTCCTTCACCTCATCGACATTCTGGCAGTTGCCGCTGCGTTGACGAATTCGCGAACAAGCCAAACGCCATGAAATCGAGTTATCCCTGTGGTGTCATTGTACCCATTCGGACCATGAGGACGAGTCAATGAGATGACTAATAGGTTCAGTTTTGAATCTGCACCGGACAACAGACCCCGTATAACTTTCGCGCACACCATACTCGGGGGACATGAAAAACACTCTTAAGCACTACGAGACCCTTTGGGTGGCACGATTTACGTGAATGATTCATATATACGTAAGACTCTGTTCCAGAGTTATACTTAATTTCATGAAAGTGTGAATGATGCAATTGAATTGTCTCGGCATCTCCGTGGGTTGACTTATATCGAAGTAGTCGTAGCCTGAGCCGTAGTGGGCGACACAGTAGTGACCTGGAGTCCAGTGGGAGCCACAGTACTAGCGGCCACTGTAGTAGGCGAGACTGTAGTGGGAGCAACAGTAGTAGCTGCCACTGTAGTAGGCGAGACTGTAGTGGGAGCCATAGTAGTAGCGGCCACTGTAGTAGGCGAGACTGTAGTGGGAGCCGCAGTAGTAGCGCCCACTGTAGTAGCGGCCACAGTAGTAGGCGAGACTGTAGTGGGAGCCGCAGTAGTAGCGGCCACTGTAGTAGGCGAGACTGTAGTGGGAGCCGCAGTAGTAGCGGCCACTGTAGTGGGAGCCACAGTAGTAGCGGCCACAGTAGTAGGCGAGACTGTAGTGGGAGCCGCAGTAGTAGCGGCCACTGTAGTAGGCGAGACTGTAGTGGGAGCCGCAGTAGTAGCGGCCACTGTAGTGGGAGCCGCAGTAGTAGCGCCCACTGTAGTAGCGGCCACAGTGGTAGCGGCCACTGTAGTAGGCGAGACTGTAGTGGGAGCAGCAGTAGTAGTGGGAGCAGCAGTAGTAGCGGCCACTGTAGTAGCGGCCACTGTAGTGGGAGCCGCAGTAGTAGCAGCCACTGTAGTAGGCGAGACTGTAGTGCGACCCGCAGTAGTAGCGGCCACTGTAGTAGGCGAGACTGTAGTGGGAGCCGCAGTAGTAGCAGCCACTGTAGTAGGCGAGACTGTAGTGGGAGCCGCAGTAGTAGCGGCCACTGTAGTAGGCGAGACTGTAGTGGGAGCCGCAGTAGTAGCGGCCACTGTAGTAGGCGAGACTGTAGTGGGAGCCGCAGTAGTAGCGGCCACAGTAGTAGCGGCCACAGTAGTAGGCGAGACTGTAGTGGGAGCCGCAGTAGTAGCGGCCACAGTAGTAGCCGAGACTGTAGTGGGAGCCGCAGTAGTAGCGGCCACTGTAGTAGCCGAGACTGTAGTGGGAGCCACAGTAGTAGCGGCCACTGTAGTGGGAGCCGCAGTAGTAACGGCCACTGTAGTAGGCGAGACTGTAGTGGGAGCCGCAGTAGTAGCGGCAACAGTAGTAAAGACTACTGTGGTGGGAGCCGTGGACAGAGTTGAGTGGTCGAGACAGTGGTGGTAGTTGTTGTAGTTGTGGGGAAGCTGCTGCAGACTGACGGGCCGCAAGGCTGATCACCATCTTGACAAACAGCGACGTGGA